TCTGTAACTTTACAGTTGGCCTCTGTATCTGTGGATTCAACCAACTGCGCATCTAGCAGTGAAAAAAATCCGCATATAAATGGACCTGCACAGTTCAGATGTGAGTTGTTCAAGGGTCAATTGTATATTATTACATATTATTTACTCAACAATGTGCTTGTGAAGTAAAATGATGCTCAATTTAATTGTCTCTTATCCTTTTATTGTGTTTGGGCTAAGTTTAGGTATTATGAGATAAAAACATTTAAAAGAGAGGGAAGACTTACTTGTCATCAATTCAGAGAGAATAACCTTCTCCTAGGTAAGCCTGTTTGCAACTTTACATAAACATTAATAAGTAACACATAATTAAACTGAAGTGACACAGTGAAAGTAGCCTGGGAACTAGAGAAAAAATACACCCACTAAGACTGAATTCCACTTGGCAGAGTGTCCGTATTTTAAAATGATACAGGGTCACCAAGCAGGGGAATCTGCACGGCTGCTCCCGAAGGGGCCACGAGCATCTCGGGAGGAAGCCAGAGGCTGCCCAGGTAGGAGCCCACCTGACTCCCAGGGGAGCCGCCAGGTCCTGAGGGGCTGGGCGCTGGACCCTGCCTCTCGGCAGGGACACCTCACAGCCAGCTGTGACAGTGTGGCTGGTTCTTCTCCCTTTGGGGTGAAATCGCGTTTAGAAGCATCTCTGCAGCGAGCAGGCCCCCCTCTGTGGGGTGAGTAGAAAAAGCTGGTATGTTTCTGGCCCCCAAAAGGTGGATGAGGATTGAGGAAGACAGGAGGCGTGCTTGGAAAATTAGAGCAGACGTGCAAACACTGAAGCACAGCCCAGTCCCCCATTGTGCAGATCAGGGCTCACAGGTCAGGGGATGGGGGCAGGCGGTCAGGAGTGGAGGAGCTGCTTTGGTGGAAGTTTGTGTGGTCTGGTCTCCACCGCCCTCAGCTCGCGGCAGTGTTGAGGGTGTGGGGAGTGTGGGGGGTGTGGGACAGGGCCAGAGCTGGGCTGGGCCACATGGGCGAGGTTTCAGGATCAGCGGTACACGGGTCACCGGCGAACCGGGTAGAAATGCAGACTCCCAGGCCCTGCCCCGGACCCACTGCACCGAGACACCAGCAAGGCCCACAGGTGACCCTGTGCATGTGGGCTTTGACAGACGGGGGACTGACCACCTCAGGCCTGCAGCTCAGCGAGGCCGAGTGAGGTCAAGTGGTGACCTGTCTCCTTTCTGCCAAATCTAAGTGGAAGACTGACCCCATCACGGAGGGCCTAGCCCCAGCACATTCGACGGAGAGACGGGCCGGAGCTGGGACCCACGAGAAACGTAATTACCACTCACTGCCTTGTTGAAAGAACGTGTCGCGGCTTCACCTAATCCCTGTCTTCCCTTCTCGCCCCTGAGAACCAGCTGCAGCCACCTCCTAAGCACGCGGTGGAAGAAGCCCTTCCGGGCTCGGGGTGGGGGCGAAGTCCAGCCCCGAATGACCCCTGGAGGAGGCCGTCCGTCCTTGTCCACCTTCCTGGCCGCCCCTCGGCGGTTGTCCAGGAAAGCGAGTTGGTGAAAACTCGAAGCGCCCCCCGGTCGCCTCTGCGCATTTTCCGGAAGGCCCGGCTGCGGCTGCGGGGACCAGAGGCGCCCGGCCCCCCACGTGCGGCTGGGACCCCCCCGGGCTGGCGGGGGGCCGCCGCGATGACTGCGTCCCGCAGGCCGCGGGGCTCGCTCTGGCCGTCCCCGCGGGCCTGCCTTCCCTCCTCGCGGGCCGTCCCGGCGAGGCGGAGCTGCTGCGTCTCGCCTGCCTTTGGCGGAAAGGCGAGGAGGACGGAAGCGGCGTGATGACAGAACGCTCGGCTTAGTTTCGTCCAGAACGTTTCCCGCGTCTAAACGAGGGACGCCCGCTTGGGTGCGAATCCTGGCCGGAGCAGCCTTAGCCTTCGCGCAGTTCCCGTTGCCTCGTTACCCCGCGGCGCCCACGTCTCTGGTGGTGAGAGGAGCGGCCGTTCAGCTTGGAGGACTTCGTCTCGGAAGATGAAAGCCGGGCGAGGGCTGCGAGGGTGTGAGGGAGCCACGGTGGTCCTCGGAAGACGGAGTGTTAATGGACAGAGGATGGAGACCAGCTGCTTTCCAGCTCCGGCGAGAGAGGAAGGGGCTGGCGGGCCCCCGGGGAGGGGGGAGGGGGGCGGGGGAGCGGGTCCTGCTGGGGGCGGCGCCGGAGGAAGCGGGGCCAACGGGGTTTCCAGGACGCGCTGGAGCGGCTCTGCAGGCGGCTACACGTGCTGCGTAGCCCCCGAGCTGTGCTGCTTCCTAAGTGAACCCCTCAGCTGTTAGCTGTTTAACCTCAGGGCACGCGGTCTCCCCTCCGCCGCGCGCGCAGCCTGCGTGTCCCAGGCGCTCCCTTCCCCTGCAGGGGGCGAAGCAGGAAGGATTCGGTTTGGGCTTCCATTTTGCAGCTCACGGCCTCTGCTGTCTGTAGTATCTCTAACCGGAAAGACCAGCTGCGGAGAAGCCGTGGCAGCCGAGGCGACCCGGGAGCAGGCGTAGCTCCGCGTGGAATACAGCGTCGCGCACCGGGTGCCACGGCGTGCCGGCCCGGCAGTGCGGGGCCCGCCCGTCCCGCACTGTGCCGCTGGGGCTGTTCCTCGTTTACACGTCAGGGACCGGGCCCCGAGGGGTTAAGTACGCTGCATAAGGATGTAAAGCCAGTAATGTGAACACGTCTGTTGAATTCAAAAGCTGGTGCTTTTCCTACAATGCCACCCTGTCTCGTGTTATAGGAAACAAATTAAGGCTACTGAGAGTGCTTATCAGAACGTGGACCTGCAATTAAAACCAGTTTTCAGAGCTCGGACTCTCAGAGTGTCTATCACACCTGGTCCACCTGCCCTGGATTTGCCTTTATTCACATTCTGAGCATCTTACCTATTCATGGGAGGCTGTCATCACTAAGTTGGGAGACACCAGTGAATTCGCTTCTCTCAAAAATTATCAAGACTCTTTGCAATAAAGGGGAATATGTGGAATTTATTTTAGACCTGCAAGCTATTTTTCACTAATTTCTCTTATTTTCTCCATTTATTCATTCAGCAAACATTTGTGGATGTGTGTGTTCCAGAGGACGTGCTGGGTACCAGGAACTTATATGTTAAGACGCTCTGTCCAGTGAAAAAGAAAGGTATCAAAAAAACAAAACAAAACAAAACAAAACCTGCCACCTTGTAAGATAAACGCCCCATTGTAAATGATATAGAGCTCCCAGAAAGAGTGAATCTGGAAAAGTATTTAAACTATGTGACATCCAAGCCAGGTCTTATGTGCTATAGGACATGTAGTCAAAGGCCTTGTGAAAATGCTGAAGTCTAAGAAATCACTGAGCTGTGTTTAGACAAAACCTCAACATGTGATGTACCATGTGAAAATAAAATATTTGTATCACAAATACACCGAGAACGGTGAGGACAAAGCGGAAATACATTGCAAAAATATTGCCACGGATTCTTCTTTAGGAAATTAGACGAATGAAGAGATTTTTCCTTTTAGAAAATTATCTGTTTGCACTTTGGACTTGCCTGCAGATGCACAGATGAGAGAAGGAACGTGAGCAGACGTGGTCCCTGGGAGAACCAGCCAGGTCACTGCAGGGTTGCTGACTCACTCACAGGGGCCCTTGTGGGGTATTTGCATGTATCACCTGGGCTGCAAACTTCCAGGCATCATTTGTACACCAAATGCACCAACTAAAGTGGTCTTTTTATGACTTTAGAATGCCCCAGACAAGCCATTTCTTTTGCATTTATAAACTGCTTTCCAAATAATTTTGCCTTTGAGGTATATGTCGTGAGATGTGAAAAGAATGTTAGATGTAGAATATTCAACTGAAGGGTGTTTTTTTTCAGTTAAATGCATACCTGCTTTCTACGTCGGCTAAAACTGAGATGTAACACACAGTGGAGTGCGTATGAGCGTTGAGGGAATGGTCCTGGTTTGCTTGTGGCCCGCAACTAATCTGAGATGCCAGCTCTGGCTTTCATTTGTATCACAAGAACATTGGCAGGCAAAATGATTCTGCAAGTCCTGAGCCAACCAGAGAGAAGTGATTCGGAGTGGCGGAGCTGTCATCCCGTGAGTGCGGAATCTGGATTTAAACGCACAGCTCGGTGGCTGTCACAGCGCCCACAACCGCACGTGTACCTGTGAGTGAGTTCACCGTGTCCAGGGAGCATGTGCTGCTGTGTGGACTGGCTGGCTCTGTTGCTTCATCAGGTGCACGTGGGGTCTGGGTGGGGGCCTCTTCCAAATGCCATCAGGACCACCTTGACGTTCTCTCCCTGAGCCCTGCACCCATCAGACTGCTTCTTTTTTGTATCAGTCACTAGATACAGGGTTTTCTTTTCAGTTTAATTTTCCAGCTTGTGTAATTGATAATAAATCCATTTTTCCCTGAACACTTCATGCAGATTTTCTATTTTTCCTATTACCTGACTTTTTTCAAAACCTTCAGCTGTTCTAGGGACCTATATGATAAGCACTCATTACAACAAGTGAGAGGAACTTGATTTCATAGCAAACATAATAAATAAATAAAAATAAGCAGAAGGTACAGCTCGGTGGTGGAGTGTGTGCTTAGCATGTGCAGGGTCCTGGGTTCAATCCCCAGTCCCTCCATCAAAACCAACAGATAGATCTAATTACCTCCCCCAAAAAAGTTTTGAAAAGCATTCTTGACTATTAACAATGTGAATATTTTTAGCATTCAGAAAGCGTGATTCTTGTTACAGAGATATGCTAACAAACTCCTATTCTGATGTTGCCTTTCTGAATGTAACAGTATTATCTTAAGAGTAAAGAAAAAATACGGGTTGCTTATTCTAATCTATCAAAAAATAACACTTGATATTCATGGTAAACACTGTTCACTTTTTCTCTTATGAACAAAAGAGACAATTCTTTGTATAACAGTTTGGCACTCATCATAAAGTCAGTCAAGTCTCTGAAAGTCGTATACAAACAAGAGATTTTTAAATCAAAAATGTTTATTGTAAAAAAAAGAACCTTGAAAATTGCTTTTTAAAAAAGAGACATTGATTTCACAAGTCTTTAGGTTGTACGTAGGCGGCAGCTCTAGACAACCTCTCACTGTCACACAAAACTCATTCAATCATAGAAAAATAAACATGAATTTACACTGACTCGTCAACCAACGCTGCTGTTCTTTAGAAAGGCACTTGGAAGGGGCTGTGTGAGTTGCATTTGTGGTCTGCATTTCACTTAGTTTAAGTACATGACACAGTTTCTAAAAATCCTTTGTTGCACATAGTCCCATCTTTAGTTAATTGCAAAAAAAAAAAAAATAGAAATCATTAAAAAATCCATCAAAAAAAGGAAGACACGGAGTATGCACCAGGAATGTTCAAAGCTAGTCTTCCTCGTATCCCTCAAGGCACTGAATGTGTATTGGCGAAGAAAGGACAAAAAACACGTTTAATACATTCTCCTGTGTTTTTTGTAAAACTTGTTCTCCCTCTGTCTTAAAAAAAATACAGTTTAAAGCATCACGGGTGGGTAATCAAACCAGGCTTTCGTTCAAGGATGGTGACCAGACATCACACATGTGATAAAGTAAACTTGGAACACTCCGTAAGGCACCTGAGAGAGTGTCTGGTCGATTCTCTTCCCATAGGAAATCTGATCACAAACTCCATTTGAGGCAATACTTTCCGTTGAAATGATTTGGCAGCAGTGTAAATCTTTGCGTTCTTTCTTGAGAAGAAGATGTGATGTGCTTTTTGCTTCATCTTTGAAGACAAAGATCCTTGTCTTTTATCCCCTCGATCTAGCTATCAGGAAATAGATAGTAATTTTAAACTTCACATGGAAAGGATTAACTCTAAACACATGGATTCCGTGCTCGCGCAGCATGTGCGTGTGTGTACGTGTGTGTACGTGTGTGTGTGTGTACATATTGTTTGGTCGGTAAGCACAAGAGAAAATGCCTTTGGACTTTTACTTGTTGTTTGGAGGCGGAGTGAAGAAATGCCTTGTGTTCGAGTAAACACTGGCTGTGTCACTCAGTGTGCCACACAGCAGCCAGACTCCTCGTGCTTGTGCAGCAGGGACATTCTGGAGAAGGTTTTGGAGCAGTTTTTGCACTGGTATTTCTTGACGTCCGAGTGTGTCTGCAGGTGGGCCCTCAGATTTGACCTGTCTGCAAACGCCCTGCTGCAGTGAGGGCAGGAGAAGGGCTTCTCCCCTGGGGGCGGGGCGGGGGATGGAGAGAGAAAGACGGTCAGTGCTTTCAGAGGAAACAAGAAGCCAGGTCACATTTATGAGTAACAGCTACATTTTGCCAAAAGAATGAGAAACAGCAAAACTTGATTACATTTCCCCAGAGTGCATACTTATTTCAATGTCTGGCCCTTTAAGATAAATTTGCACTTTGCCTTAAAAACAGCAAATTTTAAAAAAAAGAGAGAGAGAATATTCTGCCTGCTGCCAGTCACGCAGAAATAATTCCTGCAGCTCTGGGGCTTCACTGGTAGAGCACTGGCAGGTGCAGCTGAGGGCAAGCTCCTCCCCAAGCTTCCCAGCATTTCTCCTTTCCCCTCCTGCCGTGTTATAAGCGAGGCTGGACAGATGCCTTGACACCCTGCAGGGTGATTTTGTGCTAGGAATAGAAAATTCAGCAGCAAAACCCAAACCAGACCGACCATCAGAAGCAAATTCAGCCTTGCCACCCAGCTCGCTGGGGGGTGACAGGTGTCCCCTTCATCTGCCTGTCTGCACCCTCAGTTCAGCTAGCCACGCGTGTATTGCTGATTTCAGGGAGCTGCTTCACAGAAGCCACATTCCTGGACTGCCTTCCTGACTTTCTAACTGATCTTTGAGACCAAACCCTCCGAGTCTACTTCCCAAAGCCTCAGTGCTGCTTGCGGCCTCTGGGGCAGAGGCTGTGAGCCAGCCCTTCGTGCCCCGACCACTTTCTGAGTCGGCAGGAAGAAGCTACAGATGGTCACCCATCATGGAAAGCACTGTGTCGCTGCTTCATGCAGACAGGACAGGCAGCCCCGAGCTTCCTCCTGTCGGACAGCAACGCCCCGTCCCCGTTTTCCTCTTACCAGTGTGCGTTCTAATGTGTCCTTGCAGCAGCCAGGGCCTGGAGAACGCCTTGCCACAGATCTTGCAGACACAAGGCAAGGTGTGGGTCCGAATGTGCATCTTGAGGGCGCCCAGGCTGACATACTCCTTGTCGCAGTATCTGCAGCTGAAGGACTTCCTGGCCTGGGCGCCGCAGTGCAGCTGCTTGTGCTTGCCCAGCCCCGAGAAGGTGGAGTAGGTTTTGTTGCATAAATTGCACTGAAACTTTTCAGCTTCAATGGCGTGAGGGTCTGAGAGCTTGGACTGTAGTCTTTCCTCTTCATCACTAATGGGGCTCTCCGAGCCGCTGTGGTCCTTGGACGAGGTGTCAGACGGAGGAGGGGGACTCACGCGCCCCAGGGATGAGGGGTATCCGGATAGAGGAGACAGGCCGCTGGGCGGCGGGCCGTGGAACGGGGCGGCGGCGGCCCACACGGTGATGGGGCTGTAGGCTCCCGAGCTGAGGATCTCCGGCTGCGGGATGACGGGCACGGAGTAGCTCTCGTAGAGGTACGGGGAAACGATCACTGCGGGGTGGGGTGGGGCGGGAGGAGAGCAAGGTGAAACAACGTGGAAGCACCCGTAGGAGGCGACTGGGCAACACGCACAGGACGTTGAGGACCGGGGGGGGCGGGCGGCGTCCGGTGGGGGAGGGACGCGCGCAGGGG